GTCTCTGAACATCTGAACATCTAGGTTTGCCGTGATAGAGATCAGACAGGCTATGCTGTACGTCTGAGCACAGCTGATGAGGCTGTGTTGTACTGCATGTCACAGAGAAGGGAGGGGATTGCTTTGTTCGCCCCTGAATCTTCAGCAGCTGCCTAGTGATGGACACAAAAGATGTCTGATAGATATTTCTTAAGAAATGAATAAGTGAACAAGTCTAAACTTCTGGCATTTATCCCATCAGGAAACATGAATGACATTAATGTGGAGACTTCCACTGGATTTATGAAATTTAAATGTGATTTTAAAGGGCATCCAAGACTCCCTTCAACAAAGTCATCCTAACCCAGTGTACTCAGCCTGGGATAGGTCCCAGACTTTGTGTTGTGCTTTTGCAGTAAGTCTCTACATGAAGAGATATGTTATCTCCTTTATCAAGTTGCAAATTCCTCCAGGAAGTTTCTCAGAAAGATATTTTGGTTTATTGTATAACCCCCAAAGTACCAGGACAATGCTGAGAAGACACGGACTAATGAAAATGTTCCATACCTGATGCATATTAGGCACCCACAAATATTTGTTGAATGAACAAATGATGACAGAAGAAGAGGCTTTATCTTATATATATATATTTTTTTCTTTAACTCTACAAACTTTGTTGTTTTGTAAAAGAACAAAAGTTGAATTATCCAAACTTCACTCCTACAAACATATACATTCATATATACATACACACATTGCTTTCCGTGTCTTAACATTGACTAGTTCCTGGAATGTTTTGACCTAACCCAAGTTTACTTTTTAAAACTCAGCAGTTTAATTATTTCATTTAAAACTAGCCTAAAGCTTTTTTTGGTCCCTTATCACAAACCCTGTAGATAAAATTAGTAGTAACTAACAATAATAGAAAGAAGATGTGTACTATATACCCTAAAACAAGAACTAAAATAACAAAATAAAGAATTGTTGGTAATAAGCCAAGAGAGGAAATATAATGGATTAATAAAAAAATACTGAATGAATTAATCCCCCAAAAAGTCACTGAAAAAGGAAAAATAGAGTAAAGAACAAAAGGAACAAATAGGAAACAAAAATAAGATGGTAGGTTTAAACTCAACTTTATCAATAATCACATTAAATGTGAATGCTCTAAACACCCAAATTAAAAGGCATAGATTGCCAGATTAACTATAGCAAAACAAAACCCAGTTCTATACTGCCTATAAGGAATCCATTTTAAATAAAAAGACAGGAATAAGTGAAAACTAAAAGAATGTAGACACTAATAAAAAATCTGGAGTATCTATATTAATAACAGAAAACATGATTTCAGAACAACAAATATTATCAAGGATAAGGAGGTTCATTCAATAATGATAAAAGCATCAAATTATGAAAGGGACATAGGAATCATTAATTATAAGTGCTTATGTCTCTAACAACCAAGCTTCAAAATGCATGAAGCAAACATAAAACCAGAATAAGAAATTGACAGATCTACAATTACAGTCAGATATTTCTACTCTCAGAGTAGTTGGTAGAAGTAGAAAAAATATCATTAAAAATATGGAAGATTGTATACACCATCAGCCAAATTTATCTTATTGATAGAGAACATTCCACCCCAAAACAGCAGAATATACATTCTTTCACATACATATGAAATATTTTCAAAGATCATATCCTGGGCTATAAAACAAGTCTCAATAAATTTAAAAGTATTCAGGTCTCCATACAAATGTTATCTGACCAAAACAAGAATAAGTTAGATGTCAGTCACAGAAAGGTATCTGGAAAATGTCCAGATACTTGGAAATGAAATTACATACTTATAAATAACCTATAGGTCAAAAAAGAAATCAAATGGGAAATTAGAGAATATTTTGAATTGAATGAAAATAAAAAATATCAGAATTTGTGGGATGCAGCTTAAGCAGTACATAGAGGAAAACTTAGAGCACTAAAATGCTGATATTAGGAAAGAGGTAAAGTCTCAAATCACTGACTTTACCTCTGATTTTAAGAAACTAGAGAAAAAAGGGGAAATTAAAAAGCAGTGTAAGCAGAAGAAAGGAAACAATAAAGATCATATCACAAGGATAGAGATAAAAGTACTGATATAAATGACTTCGAAAATGAGTGGACTTTTAGGACCTAAGGCAAAAAGGAATGGAATATAAACATTGTACTCTAGTTGATAAAGTTGTTTCCCATGGGGGTACAGCCTAAAAATTCTGATATTGTTATACATGTATATTGGAATTAAATAATTAAGCAAATGGATGGTGGATGTGGGAGCCAAATTTCTCACTGTTAGCGTAGACAGTTACAAATAAATAGAGAGAAGAGGCTAGAATGGTCCACATGATAAGCATTAAAGTTGGAGACATTAGTATGAATTTGTGTTTTGCTTACTATATACACAGATAGTTACAAATAGACTTATTTATAGATATGTATATATCCAATGGCTAGTATACACACACATAGTCCCTTGTTTTGTCAGTTGAGAGGGCCTAGAAGCAATGATACCTTGGTAGCAACAAGCACACCTAGCACTCAGATCTTGTTTCCTAATAACATTTTCCAAGAAAAAAAGACAGGGCTTCTTAGGGAGATTGGTGTTTCTAGGACTTAGTGGGAAATAAGTAACATGATTCTAGAATATCCTGTAGTGACAGAAAGTGAAGAAGTGTTAAAAAAAAAAAACACAATGATGAGGGTATATTTAACGGACACTGGAACCAACTGAAAATGCACTCAGTGGCTAAGCTGGAACAATCAGAGGAACAAAATAAATATTGCAATACTAGATTATAAACAAAGTACAAAATACATATCCATGAATCAATACTTGTATAAATAAATGTTTGGATAAATAAAAAAATGGTGAAGAAGAGAAAAACTTCCAGGAAGAAGAATTCCAAATAATTTATACAAACACTCTGCTCTCAAAGAGGTGGGAGCTTAGCCCCCTACTCCTCAAGTGCGGACTGCACATAGTAATGTCTTTCCAAAGAGAACAGTATTGGAAGTGGGGAATAAATTTATAGTGAAGAAACATGACCAATATTACTTAAGTCAGGTGATCAGGAGCCACATCAACATGGTAAGTCATGCTGATCCTGTGCATACTTGACATGATGTGACAGGATGTGATGAAAATGGCACTTTACCTCTTTGGTCCTCCTTCCAGACTCTGTAACCCCAAAATAATCATGGGGAAAGCATTAAACAAATCCACACTGAGAGACATTCTACAACAATACCTGACTAGTACTCCTCAAAACTGTCACAGTCATCCAAAACTAGAGAAGTCTGAGAGACTGTCTCAGCTAAGAGTAAGCAGCTTAGGGAGTCATGACAGCTAAATGCAATATGGTACCTGGATGGGATCCTGAGCAGAGAAAAGACATTAGGTAAAAACTAAGGAAATTTGAATGAAGTACAGGCTTTAGTTAATTTTTTTTTTAATCAATGGGAAAGAGAAAAGAAAACCAATAGGGGGAAAAACAGGCACTGAAACTACAAGCTAGTTCAATGAAAAAAATTAATAAAATTGAAAAACTCTAGCCAGACTGATAAGGAGAAAAAGAGAGACAACACAAGCTGTCAAGGTCAAGAATGAGAGTGTGACATCAGTAAAGACTCTATAGATGTTTCATAATAATAAGAGAATATTATGAAAATTATGCCAGTTAGACAGTAAGTATGACAATCAAGCAATGTAATTAGAAAACAGGCAAAAGATAGGAATTTACTGGAGAAGATAGACAGATTGAAAATAAGGACATCTGAAAGATGTTAAACATAATTAGCCATTAAACAAATTAAAACAAAAATAGTATTATTACACATTTGTTAGAATAGCTAAAATAAAAAAATAATGACATCACCAAATACTAGCAAAGATGTGGGAAAACTGAATCATACATTGCTGGAGGGAATGTAAAATGGTGCAGCCAATCTCGGAAACAGTTTGAAAATTTCTTATAAAATTAAACACACAACTACCATATGACCCAGCAACTGCACTCCTGGGCATATATCCCAGAGAAATGAAAACTTATGTTCACACAAAACCTGTATGTAAGTGTTCACAATGGCTTTATTTTCAATAGCCAGAGGTTGTAAACAACCCAGATATCCTTCAAAGAGTGACTGGCTGTCCAAAGGGATTAAAATAAAAAATCAATATTATTTACAATAACATCAAAAGTGCTAAACACTTTTAGATAGGTCTGACAAAACCTGGGTAAGATGTGCACAAAAGAATACTACTAAGCAACAAAAAGGAATTCCTGGAATACTACTCAGGAATAAAAAGGAATAAAAGCAACAACATGGGTGAATCTCAAAATCCTTCTAAAAAGAAAGTAAAAGAAGCTAGACAAAAAAGAGCTAGAACTTGATTAAAATTCTTGAAAATGCAGCTAATCTATAGGGAAAGAAAGCACACCAGTGATTGCCTAGGGACAGAGGGGCCAGTGGGGCAATAGGAGAAAGGCAGGAGGGATGACAAAGACAGAAAAAGTTGAGGGGGGGGGGTGATAGAAATGTCCATTATCTTGATTTTGGTGATATTTTCACAAGCATATATATATGTTAAAACTTATCAAACTGTACATTAAATATGCATAACTTGTTGTATGTCAATTACACCTCAAATAAACTTTTGAAAAATATAGAGAGACTCTCAAAGCCCAGAATCAGGAGTGAGACCCAAGAGTGGAATATACAGCCTGCCTGGATTCGCTTATCTCATTTTATGTCCAATCTCAGTGGTTTCAAATCCAGGCAGGTATATTAGATTCATGTCTGAGACTGGATACAAAATAAAATAAGCAAAAAGAAACAAGGGAATGAGTTAGGATGGAGTATAGTGAGATGTGATGGTATGGGCCTTGAAGTTCTTGCTAAAATGTTTTAAGATGATGAAATAGAAATAACATATAATTTCTGAGAAGGAAAGTGACGTGATCAAAAAAAGTGGCCACACTCACCGCTTGAAGAAGATGCAGCAGTGGTGGTACCTGTGTGTTCACAGAACAGTAATGACTGGTGGACTCCTCCAAAGTATCAAGGACACCAAAGGCTGGTCAATGTTTTCTTTGCTGGCCACATTAACAGATAAATTAATCACATTAATGATTCTACAATTCTGGCTGGTGACTTTTCTAAATGATTTTGTGCTAGAAGTTCTTTATGTTCATTAACATATCTCTCCCTACATTTCAAATAGTCTGTCCATACTCAGACATGACGTGAGCTTTTATCCTGTCAGGATTTTTAAAGGGACTCTAGGTGACTATCCAGCCCATGACAGTCTTCCCTGAGGAAGTCTTCCCTGTCCACCTGTCAGCTGTGCAATCTGTCAACAGCTACACTTGAACCTTCTGGTACATCCTTTTTCTGCCAAAGTTGTTTTGAAGTGGCATTCTGTTACAAGCCTCAAGAGATTTGAGTTTGAAAATTATATAACCAAAAATCAACTTACCCTTATTATTTTCTGTATGCTTATTTTATATCAACAGAGGACTTCAGTACAGCAGTTTCCAATGGTGAATGCATACAAGCCTTTTTGCTTTTCCTTAAAGCAACAGTGATGCTGACCTTGCTGGTCAAAGAGGAAACCACTGACCAAGGAGGAACTGAGCTGGTTTCCAGTAAGGCGGGCAGAAGGGTGCTCTCTTCCCATCTTCAGGCAGTGATGCAGATGTAAGTTCAGAAACAAAACCCATCCTGAAGGGGAAACATCTCCAGCTGTCAGGTCCCTATTTGGAAATTCTTTTTATATTTCCTCTAAATTTTTCAGACCTTAACTTGAGCCTTTTTTCTGAGGAGATCAGGGAATAGTTATTTTCCGTCTCTTTCATATACGTACAAGCTACCCTTAACGTGCTGGTCAAACCTTTTGCTCGACTAACTAACTTCCCTTCATCTTTCCAACCTGTTATCTCTGGCTCTACCCAGGTTGTTATCCATTCATTCTTTGGTTGCCCCCACCCCACTCAATTCCAAGAGTGTGGTGTAGATAAATGCAGATAGATCTTCTCTTTCTTCTTTCCAAGGTTTCTCTGATCTCTCCTTCCTTCCATCTTCTCTGACACTCCCAAAGTTCAGGTCCTCATCAGCTTTAAGCTGTATGATGTAACTAACACTTCTGCTCTCCCTTGTCTTCCTGCATCCTGCATATAACTGCCAGTAGACTCCCTCCTGTACCAGTCCATCTTTCTGAGGCCCACCGTGATCATACCACTCCCCTGATTGAATGCCTTCCCTCTTGCACATGGAATAAAGTGCAAACTTTCTAGTCTTGCATTCCTTCCATGTCCTCTGCTAGCCCATTTGATGTCCCACAAAACCCTGCTCTGCTTCCTGTGGTCCAATCCAGCGTGCTGTTGTCTGACATGATGCCATGAATCTATACGATGGCTTCAACACACCCTCTGCCCAAGCTGTCTTTTCCTTTCTCAGCTTATCAAAGTCTTATGCTTCTTTTCTTCCAAGCCCAGCTCAACATGCCTTCCTTTGTGATTCTTCCCAGTTAGAATGAATTTCTCTGTGCTTCCCAGTCACACCGTTTATATTTTTGTTTATAGTTTACAAAACTTTTTAAGGTCTGACTTGTAGTCCTTGGATATGGCCCCGTCCTCCCCACCAGAAAGCAGCCCTGCCCCTCCCAGTAAGCACCAGGACCCTAACTCCAGGTCCCCAGTTCAGTGCAGGACGGGGCAGTGTGGGATCTGTGAATATGCGCTTAATCAAGTTTGCAAAAATACCTGTCCAAAAGGCAAGCTGTGGGCCCACAACAATTTCCTCTGGCCACCTGACTACTATTTCAGAAGATGATGAGGTCAAGTGACTCAGCAAAATTTGCAGACTAAATGACAGGAAATAAGAGCTTCAGAAAAGGCTATTAACACTGATCTAAAACAGATGTGGCTAGAATCCCACTGCTGGGGCAGGAAGGTTTTCCACAGCATATGCCAAGGCTCTGCAACCTGATACCGGGCCCCAGGAGGGGCTGATGAACCGCAGCCATCCCTACCGCCCCCTCCACCATCTGGTTCCCCATCGAGGGCACTTAGGATGTCTGCAGAGCCTTGGGCATTCATACAGTACAGAGTTGTGTTTCCCTTATTCAAGAAAAGCATTTGTCTAGATTTTCCAGATTATCAAAATTTGTCCCCATAGGCACCCAAACTTATCAAAGTGAAGTCCATTTTTAAAAACAGTATTGAAAAGGAAGAACACAGTCCTATACTTTCCTTGCTCCCTAAGCTGTCATGAATGTGATTTGAGTGTTCTTGATGGCCGGAGCTGACATCATGTATGTCCGTTGTTGTCTGTCCCACAGGGCTGCTCACCCCACTACTGCCATGATACCTTCAAATCACAGTAATTGCAGCAATAGTAACAGCTAGTACTGACAAGCACTTCCCACGGGCAGCGCACTGAGGCACTCTACGTGGCGGTTTCGTTTGGGTTTCACAACATCCCGAAGAAGTAGATGTTATCGTCCGCAGTTTTTAGGTATAAACGCTGAGGAGCAGGGAGTTTAAGTAACATGCCTACAGTCACAGGGCAGTTAAATAAAGGAAGACAGACCCTCACTCAGGCAGTCGGCTCCAGACCCCACATCAGCAAACCCTTTACTCTGCTGCCTCCCTGCACACAAGCTGGCCTGAAATAAGATGACTGACTCGTCCCGGTACTTTCCTGGGTTTAGCACTGCAAACCTTCAGTCCAGGAAAAACCACTGTGGAGTGGTTAGTCACCCTAGCCTGAGAGCAGGAAAGCTCTGGCCAGAACTTCTGTGGCTCAGATGTTCTGCTCCCAGTGGTCCATCACTAGCTGCTGAGAGTGGGGAAGGAACCTATTAACAAGCAAGTCCAACGAGCAGAGCCAGACAGACACAGGGGCTCCCTAGGACAGTTAGTAATGCTGCTCTCCTGAAAACATCACTGTTTAACCTTGGTGGAGGTGAGAAGCTTCTATGAATAAAAATCATACAGCTGATCCTTGAACAACATGGGTTTGAACTGCACAGGTCCACTTAATACACCGTTTTTTCAATAAATATGTTGGAGAATTTTCTGCAGATTTGTGGCAATTTGAAAAAACATTTTCTTTTCTTTAGCTTACTTTATTGTAAGAAAACAGTATGCATTTAACACAAAAAGTGTGTGTTAATCCTCTGTTTATGTTATCGGTAGGGCCTCTAGTCAACAGTAGGCTACTAGTAACTACATTTTGGGGGAGTCAAAAGTGGTATACGGATCTTCTGACTGCACAGGGCTTGGCACCCATAACCCTCACACTAGGGTCAGCTGTATTTCTTTATATTCAAAACAGGAAAATGGCTATACTTACAGTGAGCAATTTTTTAAGACCGACTCTTTTGTGAGGCTTGTTAAAGAGCTTATCATTTAGACAATAAAAGGTAAAGAACCCCGTCATTCCCAAGGAGCAGCGTCTTCGGAGCCATGCGTTACTCAGCTTCATAGCTCAGCTGACGGAAGTGCTCCAGTCTCAGCACGCCGACACGGGTCTGTGGAGGCTGAGGCCCGGCCTGCAGTTGTGGCCCACTGCTTGCATGGAGGCATCACAAAAAGTAATGCTTCCCTGAGAAAAGCCATGTCAGTGAGGTTTGCAGCAGGGAACTGATGACTCCCACAACAAGGGTTGCAAGTGAAAACCTGAGTTAACTGAGAGCACATTTCTACTTATCCCAGAGGTGTTTTACTGCTCCTCCCAAACCAGTATCCTCAGCTGTGTCCATGCAGCTCCTGGGGCCTTCTCTGTAATCTGCCTGGCCCTCTGGCCTGAGAAGAGTGGATGGGCCTTGTGACCACCTTGTCCTGAAAGGCCTTTTCCAGACTCTTTTGCATAGGGGAAAGCCGAGGTCAGTGACAGGCTGGCCCCAGAGTGGCAGGGCTACCCTATTTAGAGGGTGTTGTCTCCATGGGACATTAAGTGCTCCTCTGAGAGTTCAGATTAACTTCTAGGCAAAACAAAGAGGAGTGACTTCCTGCCTGCTTCTTGCATCTACACGAGTCAGGACATTATCTTGGCAGAAGTTCCAACATTTTAGAAGGAAACAAAGAAGAGGTGAAGGAAAGCCGATCAGCCTAATGGCAAGATGGGTGCTGCGCCTGCCCCACTCCGAGGCCCTCGGCTTATCTTGACTTGCTCTGCACCAGCCTCCAACAGGACCTGGACACAGAACCAGGCCCTTGGGGATGCCCTTCAGCTTTCCCGGAGAGATCCCACAGTGCTAAGCAGGCAGTGGCATTTGAGGGAGCCGCTGGGTTCCTCTTCAATGAGCTAAATGACTCCTTTAGGAATTAGAAACCAAATGCTTTGAGGTTTCCAGAAAAGGTGACGAATTTACTTTTCCTTAACTGTACCAAAAATTGTTCCATGGAAAATTATAAGGGTATTTTTAAAGGGCATCAGGGTTCACATTTCTGTTCATTTTATTTTCCATTTTCTTAAGTTTAATTTAATTTAGCTATTTAATAAATTGCTTTTTAAAACCAAAAGGTCAAATATTTTCTCCCTTAAAGCCAAATCTGGTCTGTTTTCCTTCACAGCAAGCTCATAGCATCTTTAGGGAGGGAAGTGGTTACCTTTCCTGTGTTCCAGCGCTGCTTTGGCTCAATCTCCATAAATACTATTATTTATTTATGCTTTTCCTAATTTTCACATGGCCCATTGATGGGCTTTTGAACCTTCCAGAGAATTTCTACAAATTGCCTCTGACACAGTATTGACAGGCTGTACATTCAAATACCTTTGTACTCTGGGGGATTCTAGGACTTGGCTGTGGCCTAGAGCAAAATGATATCTTGAAACACAATCTCTCACTGCAGGAGCCTATCTTCCCCAAAAGTGTTAAATGGGTACCCCAACTTCCACTGTGTTCAATGACCTCAAAGCCTAAACAGAAAAACCTGTTCAGAGCATCCTGTTTATGGAAATAATAGAAAAAACATGCTGATTAAAAGGAATAGACTCAAAAATTCTCAGCCATTTTCAAAGTAATAAAATTTGATTTCAAATGAATGAGATCAAAATAAACTATAATCTCAGAGTTATTTCTATAAGGTGTTAAGCCTGAAGTATTGATGGCATCTTGAAAGTTAAAAAATACTGAAGTTATAGCCCCTTCCAAATGGATGTAAAGAGAAAAAGCTATTAAGCCCTTGTTCTTTGGCCCTTTATATTCAATTTAAGGCAAGTTAGATACAGTCACCCTCATGATACACAGATTCTGTATCTGCAGATTTTTTATCAGTAAGATTTATTTGTAATCCTCAAATCAATCCTCTGTCCTTCCGTGGTCATGAGCAGACATGTGCAGAGCTGCAGAAAATCTGAGTTACCCAACGCTCTTGTTTCTAGCTGAAGTCTGAGCAAAGCAGCTGAAGGTGAACAAGGGGAGGCTCTGTCTTCTTGTTTCAGCTCTCTTACCACAAACAAACATCCTTTTCAGTCTATTTAGTGTCACGTTCTTCACACTGAGTAGTGATTTCGTTGTTTAAAATTATCCCAAAGCATGTGCTGAAATGCCGTTTAGTGCCAGTCCCTAAGTGCGAGAAG